ATAAAAAGGGTTAAAGCTCAAAGTAGGTCTTATATAACTTCCGCAAGGTGTAGGTGATTAGGGCCCTTAACACAGCATTCTATCGTAGGGCCCGTTTAAGGAGACCCTGATAAAGCATTAGATCAATGTATAAAAGAATTACAGGAGTTTAGACTACAATGGCCAGGAGTAAAGCTAAAGGTTGATAGAAAAAGGAAGGAAAAGAAAAAGGGAAAAGAAAAACAAAACTGATTTTTTATTGTATTTCTTAGCGCTGTAACAGCTGGTATAACAGAAGTAACGTGCTTTAACCAGCCAAAAAGAAAACATATGGGTAATGTTTGCTAATCAAACTAAACAATCATCGTTTTGCCTGAGTTTAAGAAAAGTTATTAGCCCTTTCTGGACATACTTGGTGGGCTAGCCTGTACTTTTGTAACATATGTTATAAGAATATGAAATAAACAGGGCCAGGAGACTTCTTCTCCTTTTTAATGCCTTTATTAAAAGTGATCAGCTCAGGATTGGGCAGCTCGGCGGGGCTGCAGTCTCCCGTCATCTCTCCCAGAGCGACTCAGAGGAGGAGGATATGCGCAGCTCTGTCCACAAGGGGCAGAGCTGGGGATCAGGTCCTCGTGGGAACCTTTAGGGCGTGGTGATCCCATCCGATGTTGATTTGGTTTGCGTCTCGTCTCGCTTCCTCCCAGACCTGGCCCAGGGGCTCTCGAAGACAGGGTGAGGAACAACGAAGGTTTTCAGCATCTCTGAAGGCCCTGCACTCCGCTCCTCTCATCCAGACATCACTCCAATCTCCCAACTCATAGGTGGCTCGTTGTTTTTGGGGTTTTCTCCGTGCATTTGGAATAGGGGTCCCACACAGCATGCTGGTCCTTGGAATCACTTTGCATAGCCCCCCCCACCCTCTAAGGTCTCTTCACTATCCTGGGGAAAAGTACAACTTAGCCTCGGGCAAGGCTCTGCTAATACAAAAGGAGCAATTAGCCACAACGACCCGTGATTACAATAACAAAACACGCAGAACTTCGGCAGTGACAGTGATCTGGCTGCCTTTTTGTAACCTTTCCTCCCCAAAAAAATTAACAGAATTTTTGTTCATAACAAATATTGGGTGTGATTTTTACTGCTTTTGTTTATTTTGCCTTGTGTTTTAATTGTTAATTGTATTTAGAACAAGGACAGTTGAATGATAGAAGAATCTTGGCTCCCAGAAGAAGAGGGAGCAGTAGATACACTACTCAGGCCCACTTTTGGGCCCTGCATTTTATAGGTTAATTACCATAGTAAAAAGACGTTTAGAAGTTGCACATTTGATGCTGTTTAGGAGCTAGCAAAACAAGAACTGAAACGATTTGATGAACAAAATGATTAAAAAGAAAAACGGGGGAATTGTAATGGGTTAAAACTTTAAGTTTGTTCATCAAAGCTGACAAAGTAATTCCAGTAAGACTGTTGCAACACCTCCAGTTTGTTTAAGTAAATTTCCAGACTTTAAAGGATAAGGAAGATGAAACCAAAAGACAATAGGTTTCACAAACATTTGTTTATCTGTTTAGTAAACTGTCAGTATGGGTGGGGGATTTGCTATGATTGATAGCACAGTATCAGCTTATCCGCTCAGTAAACCTAGGATTCCAGGAACTCAGCAGATTGAACCTAAAAATTCCAGGAATCAGACAAAGGAAAATTACCAACCTTCATCTTCAGACCCCGGGAGGTGGCCTATGACCACCTAAACACAAAAGAAGAATACGCAGAGTACTACACATCAACCCGGAAGAAGGACTGTATAAGAACTCCACGGAAAATCAGGAGAGCGCGGCAGTGCTAGAGTGGAGACTCTCCGGTCGCCCAGCGCGCCCGGGGTGCTGACTTTGCCTATTATCGCTTGCTTTATCAATTAATGAATTTCATGTTATTTGGACTTCTTAGTCGGTGATTCATTCCCCACCGCAACTAACCTATAACAGTTAATGCAGTATTATCTTTCTTTTATTACTATGCTATTAAGAAGTCCCTTCCAGGTACTACTGAAGCAACGATCAGAATCATGGAAAGAGGGTGGATTCATGCCAGCAGAATCAAAGGACTTGTGAAGAAACCTGAGGAATGGACTATCACCTTTACCCGGCTGATGCCGAACTGACTTTCCAATGAGGACTGAGTGGTAACAGTTTGAGAAAACCCAAATGATCCAAGAAATGTACAAAGAATAACACTGAATTAAGATATAAGATAATGCTTATATCACTGGTTTTGAGCACTGCCTGAACAAAACATCTCCTTGGGGTAGGAAAACTTCAGATAGAAAGATCAAGACTAGTTTTTTTTGTATTCTGACCTTAGCCTGAGAATTGTACAGGGGAGAAGGGGAATTGCCATTTCCATTAGTAAAATTTATTTGATGCATTCCAATACTGGACATGCTAGCTGGGTTTTAAGTAAATGCTTAAATTGTGAGAGTAATTAGTGTTGTGATTAGGAAAATTTATGCTCTTATTGCAAAAAGTGTAAAAGTACTGACTTGGTTTTGTGGATGGGAATTATTAGTGCCTGTTGAATGAGAGATACCTGAGGAACACTAAGAGACCACAGTTAAAGAGTGTCAAAAACAATTTGCCTAGAAATTAGTTAAGAGAAAGTGACAAGAAAATAGAGGGCAAGACCAGATTGGCCTCTGTATTTCGCCACCGAGAAGATCAAATAAACCTGCTGTGGGTTGCAACCTCACAGGCATGGGAGGTGGGAGCATAAGCCATACTGGACCTCTGCTATTCCTGTTTCTGGCACTCATTTGTTGTCTTTTCCCTTTCGGGATACCAGCAAGATCGTGTCACAAATGCTACATAAAGCATCATATAGAAAGAAACCAAAGTTCCTCTTTTATTACACACACCTATGTCAACAGCCACTGTTATAACCCATCCAAATTTAGAACTTGTAGGCAAAATAGAGTAAATTATTAGATTACAAGAAACTTAAGGAAAAGTGGTAATAGATTTAGAACCGAATGTCCAAAAGGAGAGAGATGGATTTGTTTTAAATTCAATCTTGAAGATACGGTTCAAGATTTCGTAAAAAACAAATAATAAACGAAAAGCTAAAACCAGCACAGCAATCTAACTCTGTATTGACTCCAAATTATCTGTTGAATTGTATTACAAGACTCCAAGCAGTTACAGAAATGGTAGCAAATAAGGCTGCCCAGGCATTAGAGTTAATATTAAGTCAACTAAGCCAAACAAAAACTGTAGGGTATCAGAATAGGTTGGCTTTAGACTATTTATTGGCCAAAGAAGGGGGTGTTTGTAGAAAGTTCAATATATCAGATTGTTGAAAATTGATGACCACAGAAAAGTCATTTTAGCAAAAGCAAAAGAAATCAAAGAAGAAAAATATATATGCATATAATAACCCAGGTACCAGTCCAAAAATTAGAAAACAATGTTAAAATCTAGCTGGTGGGGTGATGTATTAGAAGAAATTAAGATCTTTTCATTTTGTGTTACAACTGTTTTTATATTACTTACTTGTGTAATCCCCTGTTTTATTTTGCCAGCATAGTCCAGAAGATGCAAGTAGATAAAAAAATATTGCTCAAGCCAAATGATTTACAAAGAATAAGAGTGGGGATTGTGAAAAATGCATGCATTTTATGATTGGCTTTTCGCAAATATTAAAATGAATATTATATGTGTAGTGTTAGAAAATAATCCTGTATTAATTTTCTTAAGTACTGTGTTAAATATAGTTTTAGGTTATAAAAATTGTTAAAATAGAAATGATGCTATGTAGGATGCTTTGTTTAACAGAAAGGGCTTGCAGCGAGATAGCAGCCACAGGACACCAAGATCTTTCAGAGAAAGGGAATTTATTGCCTTCTTATCAGAAGAAACAAACTTCTTCCCGGCTTGGAGGCGCTGTTAGGATTAGAAGGAAGAGGTTGACACTGACCAGACAGAATCCTGTGTTTGAATGGAATTTATGCATCGTGTATGAAGTGTATGAATATGCAACAGGCTATTGTTCTTAAGGGTTAATCCTTTGTTAACGGGTGTCCTTTTTCGGGCTCGTGATGCCCAGAAAAAGGTACCCAGACGTCCGTAACTCTTTGTTTTTATTGTCTCATATTGTCTTAATTCAATTTGTCCAAATTCTTATTACCCTAATTGTGTTACTATTTTTATAACTATTTTATTACTATTAAACATTTAAAAATTTTAAAAACAAGTGATTGGCGTTTTTCACATATAAAATGAATATTATATGTGTTGTGTTAGAAAGGAATGCTGTATTAATTCTTTGAAGTAGTGTGATAAACATAGTTTTAGGTTATAACAAAATGTTAAAATAGAAACTATTCTATGTAGGATACTTTTTTTCTGAAGAAAGGACTCGCACTGAGATAGCAGTCACAGGACACTTAAATCTTTCAGAGAAAGGGAATTTATTGCTCCGCTATCAAAAGAAACTAACTTCCCGCCTCGCAGCAGAGGATGACGCCGTTTGGCTTATGAGGAAGAAGTTGACGATGACCAGAGAGAATCCTGTATTTGAGTGGAATTTATGCATCATGTATGAGGTGCATGAATATGCAACAGGCTATTGTTTTTAAGGGTTAATCCTCTGTTAACGTGCGTCCTTTTTCGGGCTTGTGCTGCCCGGAAAAACGTACCCGGACGTCCGTAACTCTTTGTCTCTATTGTCTCATATTGTCCCAATTCAAATTGTCCAAACTATTATTACTCTAATTGTATTACTATTTTTATAACCATTTTATTACTACTAAACTTTTAAAATTTTAAAAACAAGGGATTGGCGTTTTTTCCGTACAACACCTTCATCCCGCCGCTCTTGGGCCGCGCGCACCCGCCACTCCCCATCGGCGCTATCGGCATTCGGCGCATCGACTGCTCTGGGAGTGGCTTTGCCGCCTGCGCTGCGTCCCAGCAGGGCGGGAAGCGTAGGCCGCCATCGAGAGCTGAGGCCGGATAGGGGAGGGGAGGTGAGGGGTGGTGAGGGGCTCTGGGACCCGGGGTCCAGGATCTGAGATCCAGGTGAGAGCAAGAAGGGGCTAGCTCGGGGCTTCTTCTCTGGAGTTCCTGTCCTGCCGTCGCAGCCCTCTTACGCCCGGAAAGGGCCGGAGCGGGGCGGGTGTGTGGCCTGCGGGCGGGCAGACATGTAGACAGACAAGCCGCCCCCCACTCGCGGTGCCGCTGCTCGGGGTTGTGAGGTGTCGCCGGCGTTGGCAGCTGTCGCGGCCAGGGGTTCGCTAACGCCTCTCCTGTGTGCTCTGCCCGCAGGCAGTTCGCGGGTGCCGCCGAGAATGGACATCAGGCCGAACCACACCATCTACATCAACAATATCAATGACAAGATCAAGAAGGAAGGTACGAACGGCTGCCGATCGCTTCTGGTTGTCCAGTGAAGCCTGGTCATTCACTTGCACACGGCACTGGTCTTACAAAGGGGCTTTTAGGATCTCCCGGAGGTCTCTGAAGTGCTGAGCAGGAGATCATTATCCGAGCTCTGGGCAAACGCTTTCTTGTAATGAAACAGTAGCTAAAGCAAACAAATTCACCTCCCACTCGATCAGGTTGCTGAGATCTCCCTACAGCCCAGTCTTGAACGCTTTTAGCGATGGGGAGTCCACAGCCTCTCTGGGAAGCCTGTTCCAGTGCCTCACCACCCCGACAGTAAAGGATATTTTCCCAATACTACATCTAAGCCTCCTGTCAGTTTGAAGTCATTACCCCTTGTCCTGTCGCTCCAAGCCCTTGTATATAGTCCTTCTCCATCAGGTACTGGAAGGCCAAAGATCACTACTCCTAAGCCTTCTCTTTTCCAGGCTGAACAACCCCAAATCTCTGAGCCTTTCCTCATAGGAGAGGTGCTCCATCCCTCTAATCAACTTGGTCGTCTCCTGGCCTTGCACCCACAGCTCCGTGTCCTTCCTGTGCTGCGCACCCCAGATCTGGATGCAGCTCTGCAGGTGGGGTCTCACCTGAACGGGGCAGAATCCCTTCCCTCACAGGGTGCTGCCCGCTCTGCTTTGGATGCAGCCCAGGACATGGTTGGTTTCTGGGCTGTGAGTACGCATGTCCAGCCCCTTCCCCACCATCACCCCAAGTCTTTCTCAGTGCTGCTTTCCATCTGTCCATCCCTCAGCTTGGGTTGATACTGGGGGTTGCCCTGACCCAGGTTTAGCACCTTGCACTTGGTCTTGTTAAATCTCGTAGGGTGTTAAACTACCTGTTAAGATTAAAAATTACTTTCTGTTTTAATACAGGTCTTAAAGTAATTTTTAGGGAAAGTGTTTTGATAGAACACCTTTTTTTTAATAAAAAAACCATATAGTTAATATAGTTAGTCAGGAGCAGGTGGAGGAAATGACAGTGGACTGATATTACCAAGTCTCAATATCAATAAAGAAGAGACAGCATTCTTATATTGCTAAAATAGTTAAAATGTAAGGGTTTTGTGTTAGAATGATTACACAGTACCTATTATTTATTTAGCTTGATTTGGATAGTACTAAGGTTTAATTTGGCATGTATTCAGGTAATGGTAGATAATTAAAATAAACCCAATGCAGCCATAAGCTGCAGTAGTCTCATACAAAAATAATTTGGATCCAGAATATGGGTGAGAAAATTGATTTAATGGTTACAACCAAAATTTCCAACTTTTTTTAGCCTTTTAGCCTGTTTTGCTGCATTCTTGTTTTGCATCATATCTCTTTACTGCTGCTTGTTTCAGTTTTGATTTTCTGATCAGTCTGAGATGGCTGTCACGCATCATACTTGTGTGTGCATATACCTGTATGAAAATACGTTTTTACATACACCTTTATGTCATTGTGATTCCCTTGGAATGGTAGAATGGATGGCATTACAACTTCTTCACTACCTGAATCCTTGAGGTATGAAACCGAATGTTGCACACCAGCTTACAAAACCTGGACAAATAAACTTGTAATGATGTAACAGTTTTGACAAACTCATGTACTCGCTGTGTGAGCTAAAGCTTCTAAAAAACATTGTTCCCATAGGACGGCAGACTCGGTAGAAGTGGAAGTTTGCATATAACCTGTTATAATGTGTTTTCTCCCTTGGTCCCCAGAGCTGAAGAGGTCCCTGTATGCGTTGTTCTCACAGTTTGGTCATGTGGTCGACATTGTGGCTTTAAAAACTATGAAGATGAGAGGACAGGCATTTGTTATATTTAAAGAACTTGGATCATCGACCAATGCTTTGAGACAGCTACAAGGCTTTCCGTTTTATGGGAAACCAATGGTAAGCTATTTTGTTACCTTTGTAAAGAAGAAAAATACCCTGATGGTGTGATAGAGTGTTTTTGGTACTTGCACCTTGGGAATGACCTCTCCTATGTAGTTGTTACCAAAGGATTACTCCGGTCACATCCTGATGAGTATCTACATTTGTGCAAGCTGGAGGGATGCTGAAGAGACTGCAGTTACAACACACACACTTTGAACTTAACATGGGGGACTTTTTGTTTTTCTATGCTGGATTAAAGTTTTTAAGATCTTAAATGCTTTCATTTTACTCATCATGTCTTCCATTGAACCAATTAAATGAATTCTGAAATATTATTGAAATTAGATTAGTTTTCAATTACTTTATGTAGAGTAGCATTAACTACTCTTAGATTGGTAATGTATAGCTAGAATGTGATGCTTCCTTTTTGAGGTAACAGTGAGAAGGGTGAAGATCTCCCGTTTGCTTTCCAGATGTGACCACTGATTTTTTCTTTTTTAAATTGATGGCTAGTTCTGCTTGACAGTAGATCACCAAACCAAGTAGCTGTACTTCAGAATAACTTTAGTAAAGTTCAGTACTTCAGTAAATACAGCGCTGGTTGATAGAACATGATTTAGTAATGTGCTTCATGGTATGCAGAGCAGCACAGTTGACCTGCTTTGTTCTTGTCTGCTTGGACAATTAAGCACCTCTTAATTCTGCGGCTGTTGGTAAGGTGTAACAATACATGCAAATGGCCCATGACTTCAGCAATGGATGGGTACAATTCTACTGGCTCTCAGCTTATGGCTTTGAGCAGTGACGAGAGCAGTTGTGCTGCTGAGCCGCAAGCTATTTGCCTTAACACCTTCAGATTCTCTAATTAAATCCTTAACACAGAATTTTGCAAACTCAGTCCGCCATTTATCCTTAAGGAGTTTTGTGCTCAGTAGAACTCAATAAGAAATAAAAGGATTGAGGCTTCATAAGCTTTCAAATGTACTTCCATCTTTGAACATTGCCTGCAGCATGTATACTCTAAGCGCTAAACAAAAGCATTAAAAAAATCTTAAGCTGTTGTGTAGTTTTGTATTGAGGTAGTCTCTGATAGGAAAAACAATAAGATTGTATGCATAAATAATAATGTTGCACACTGGTATAGTTATACCTGCATCTGCTTAACCTTCAGCTGTAGGAGGCCTTTGTCAAAAGAACAGCAGCATTTATGCAATCCTGTTGGGATTAAGGTGAATACTTGCCTTTTCTGTTTAAGAAGTTTGGGTTTTGCTGAATTTATGTTTCTGCAGAAATCTGAGAAATCACTTTAAAATTTAACTTCCTTTAAAATGGGACTGAAAACTCACAGTTTTAATAGAAGCTAGTGCCGATTTTCTCAGTTGTCCTCTGTGTAGCTCAACTGTATCTCTCTGTAGGTGCTACCTTGACAGATGTTAAAAAGTTGTTGTTAGATAAAATAGAGTTCTGATTTCAATGAGCTAAAATTAGTAATTTGCATATTAGGGTTTTTTCTTAGACTTCTGTAATTGTGTTCTGAAAAAACTATGAGAATTGGTTACTTTCTAAGTGTACCTACACTTTTTAACAATGTTACTAGTATAAAAAGTTTCTGCAAAAAAAAAGTGTAAACACACAGTTAATGTAAGTGGTGCAAAATGTTCTGTATTATTAACTGTAGAATATACTCTGGTTTTTTTTTTTTCTTTTAAAAAGCGTATTCAGTATGCAAAAACAGACTCCGATATCATCTCTAAAATGCGTGGGACTTTTGCTGATAAGGAAAAAAGAAAGGAAAAGAAAAAAGCTAAAACTCTGGAACAGTCAGCAAATGCACCAAATAAAAAGGTTATCCAGGTAAGCTGCTTCTCTGTTCAGAAAAAAAAAAAACAAAACACAAAACCCCAAACAAACAAACCAAGCAAACAAAAAAAAAGAACTCCATTAAAAAAAAAAAACCCACACAAAAGCTATTCTAAATAATTCTTTTAAGACTTGATATTGTCTTTTGTTGCTTTTCAACTCCCTAAATTGGGGTCTGTGGGTTATCTAGAGCTCTTGAGCATTTACTAGAAGTTAAAGGAGAGGGAGCTGGTTATGTAGCCTTGCTGTTCCTTTTTTTATCCTCCTTTGCTATTATCAGATGAAAATAAAGATGGAGGGCAAACGTACAACAAACCAAAGTAGAAACTAGCCTCTTAAGAAAAGGAAAAAAAAGGAGAATGGGCTTATCTTTAGTACTGGCTTCAAGTGCTCAACCAGCTCTTCTCTTCAGTGTTTTAATTCCATGTTGCCTAATAAGGACAGAAGAATAATAAATGAGAACAAGAGAATTCATTTATGTTAGATATTACATGTTCCATGTTAGATTAACAGGAATTAGGTTGGAATTTATCTCCACTAAGGGTTGGTTTGTCTAAAGTAACAATATTTAGTAGCTTTTGTGCTGGAGTATAGCAGAAAACATCAAAACACCTCACCAGATCCCCCGAATTTATATATTGGACATGATATTCTGTACTATGGAATGTGCCTTTGGACAGTTTTGGTCAGCTTTCCTGGCTCCCTCCTGGCTTGTTGTGCGCCTGCTCACTAGCAGAGCATGTGAAACTGGAAAGTCCTTGATACAAACAATCACTCGTTATCAACAACCAAAACATCAGTTTGTTATCAGTGTTACTCTCATATTAAATTCAAACCACACTGTACTAAGAAGAAAATTAATTCTATCCCAGGTGAAACCAGGATACTTGTCTAGGCCTTCATTTTCAAAACTACTTTCTCCCTGTCTACTAAATAAAATTCTGTCATGTGGAGAAATACTTGACTCAGCCATTAGATTGATCAGGTAGTACTGATGTTATTTCTTTTGATTGCCTGGTTTTGGAGCCAAGCAAAATTCACAGGATTTGTTCCCTTTGAGAAGTGTCTCATAGGCACCCAAATGTTCTTGGATTGCAGCTCAAAAAAACCTTTAACATATGTCTTGAATTGTAGAGAAACATGGTGATATGTGCTTGTTTATTTCTAATGGAACACCTTTGTAAAACTATTTTGTACTTACTTGCTAGGGAGCAACACAGAATTCAGCCAGTGCCCCAGGGACTACACCACAGAATCAGGTAATGCTTTTTATTTTTATCACTAAAAGCACTAATGTTTATAATTATTCTCTATGAATAATAGTTTGTTACACATGGAAATGTGAGGATTTATTTTACAGCTTTATTTTTGTCCTATGAGATATTTGTCTAACAGCTACATGACAGTAAACAAACAAAACAAATCCCTTTTTTACTATATCTGGTTGACAGGAAATGAAAATCTGCAGTTTCTTATTACTATACAGAAAACAGCACTATTACAAAATCATACTGGATTCTTAAATTTGGACTGTGCTTAGTATCAGTTGAAGGATTCTTAATTTTTTTTTTCCATTGATCATAGGTTCCCTTTAGCTTACTTTTTTTCTGGCAGCAGATAAAGAAAAGGAGGACAACATGGGATGCCAAAATATCTGCCTAAAAGCCTTATTTCAGGAGTTTGAGGGTTCTCTGCTCACTTCTTCCTTTTTCTCACAAGTGTCTTACTTTCCAAAGGATTGTGTGGAGATGTAGGAACAACTCCCTACACTTCATTCATCTTGTCTGCTCAGTGACCTTCTAAATGATTCATGTTAGAAGTGAAAGTGGTAAAGAGCCAGGATTTACAGGAGAGCAAGTACCATAGAAGAATATCTTGGTCTGCCCTGCCCTGCATCTTTCTTGAGTACTGCCACTGCATACATAATCAACAGGGGAAAAGGTCCTGCTCCCTGGATTTTCAGGCACAATATGTGCATGTCAGTTTGCATCAAAGCGCAGCACTGAGTGTTTGGGTATTTCTTTGAACATCAGAAGTTTATTTCCGAATGGCACTACCTAGAATATTTCCATCAGTAGAAGGAGATTGTTCTGCTGAGGCTTTTTATTTGGCACTGCTTTGAAGATGTTTGAAGTTGGGGTGTCCAGTTTATTTTTAGATTTATAATTTACTTGATGACTTGAAGATTTCAGTATCAGCAGATGACTACTCAGCCTTGTCTGTGGTGAGTGGCTACAAATTCATATTAGCAGGCTAATCTGTTACAAGACTAAAGCTCTAAATCTAAAGGGGTTTCTAATTACATTTTAATTGAGCTCTGTAATAAAACCATGTGAATTTTGTGAGTTTTGATTGCCCAGAGATACTCAGTATTTTGTTTGTACTGCAGGTAAACAGGGCTTGGCTACCCTCTGCTTTCTGGAAGGATGTGAGTCCTTCATACATTCTACCACTGCCTTACAGGTGTCTTGAATAGCACTGCAACCACTGCTGTGGCACCTGGGTGCAGAGAGTACTGCAGTGTCAGCTCTTGACTAGTTGAGTTTAAATGTGACATCTAAGACAGTATGGTATTGTGATTTTTGTGGAAGTAAGAACCTCTCCAAATTAATATATGTGTGTAAAAGAATGAAGGGGCTCTGTCTGCATATTGATAAAGGTGTGGTGTAGCCCAGATAGAATGTTATGAGCAAAACTAAAGGAATGTGAGTCTTAGTTCAAATAATCATGCAGACAGATGCAAAGGAACTGTATGCAACTATGTATAGTCTTCTGAGCTTTGATCTTCTGTTGTTGCAGGTGCCTGATAACCCACCAAACTATATCCTTTTCCTTAATAATTTGCCTGAGGAAACAAATGAGATGATGCTGTCCATGTTATTTAATCAGTAAGTTTTGAATAGAAATTATTTCTCCTTTGAATTCTTCTGTAACCTGTGTGATTTTTCTCAGTTAACAAGCTCACTTCTTAGCAATGAGAGTTTCTTCTGAAGGTATTTTAGCTGTTAGCCTTACTGCCAAGGTTACAGATGTTGGTTCTGATGACTTGGTTCAGAAAGCAAATCTGATCTTTTCCGTAGCTGGTTTTGATTGTGTGGTTTATCTGCTATCAATTTGCATTGGATTCAAGCTGGTGACTGTAATACTAAAGTCTGTAGGACAGCAGGAGCCGTTTTAGAGCTAGATAGATTGCTTCTGTATGTGTACAGCTCTAATTAAACTGCTTCCACATAATATTTCTTAATTGAGACATAGTTCTAAGGATAGAACATGTAAAACCCTTCAATTTAAATCTTCCATTAGCAATAACTATTGCACTAGTAGATGCTTCTGATAAGAAGCTACTGAAGAGAGCTGTATTATTGAGGTAAGGAGTATTTTTGGACTCTCACTTTATTTTAAAGGTTTCCCGGATTCAAAGAAGTACGCTTAGTGCCAGGGCGCCATGACATCGCGTTTGTGGAGTTTGAAAATGAGAACCAAGCAGGGGCTGCTCGAGACGCTCTCCAAGGATTCAAGATCACTCCATCTCACGCCATGAAAATCACTTATGCGAAGAAATAGCTATATGATCCTATAAAGGACTTCTGTGGACAGGTGTTTTTTTTAAAAACACTGATACTCTGGTCAGCTACCATGTTTGCTGTTCTCTGCAGAAAACATAAGACTCAAATAGAATTGCCACAATGACCAGGGCACATGTAAAATTTTCACAGATCACCCGGATAGTAACTTTTTCTGTTGAAATACAAATTTTTATAAAATAAAATATAAATATGCTGTTTTCGAGCCATATTTTTTCCTCAAGTCTGTCTCATTATTGATTAGCCTTGCAGGGCTTTATTCAGTTTAGGAGCTTTTAAGGTGAGCCTTATTTCTCAGAAGTGAGTGCTAAAAATAGCTTTCTTTCCAGAGCAAAAGTATGATCAGGGATGCTGAATGCCAGCATAAATACAGAATAAATACAACATTCAACCTCATTATCAAGGGGACAACTGTTTTTCACTTAGGAATACAGCTTATCATTAGTGGTTTTTCTCCCCAGGTACAGTTAGAAATTGATTATAGTTTGGCAGTAATGCGATTCAACTTGGTTTTGTCTTGGTGACTGGAAGTAGAAACAAGTCCTGAGAGGAAACATAAAAGTTTCAGATTTTTAGCCTAGCTTTTCTGAAATACATGACCTAATGCTTCTGGGTTTCTCGAGGTTTGATTTACTTTATTTTTTCTCATTTGCTAAAAACTTTATAGGTTTTGTGTGACATGAAGTGCATTGGATGCAGTGATCAGATATAGTATTGTGAGTTGTAACTGTTCTAAATATTTCAGAAAAAAAAAATCACTTTAGAAAGTTGTAGGGTTTTATGTCTGCAACATAAGCCACCTTTATTTGCACAAGACTTAGAAAATTGAAGTTTCATCTGCTCCCAGACTACATTGCAAAATTATGTCTCTTTCACAGTCATTTCAATTACCGTCCTATCTCCTTTTATGTACTTTTTCATTCTTTCTGGTGATTTTGTGTATGTGTGTTTTCACAAGTATTCAAATCATTCCAATGTGTCTGTAAGAGCAGTTCTTCCATCATAACCTTGGATTTTTCCTGCTGCAGTCATAAATTTATAGATAATAATTATGCTGTCATGTCCTCCCACTAGTTTGTGTGCACATGACTACCATTGTTTTTCACCTTTATTCACTTTAAGGGTTTGGAGCCTGACTGCTGTGCTGTTGTAAAGGGGACCTTTTAAGTCAGCCTGTGGCCCTGTTTAATGTCTGGGACCTTCAAATCCTCAACAGAGTTCAGCTAGGTAATGAAAAGTGAAATGGTTGCTGTCCTGGAATGACCTCTGTGTTTTGCTCTGACTGCATCTCCCTGTGGAAGGGGTCTTGCCTGTACAAGTATGCAGTGCTTGAGTTCTTAGATTTTAAATTTTAATTAATGACTTTAAAAGTCTTTTTACTGCCTTGCACAGCTCCCTAATCAGTTGTTACATTGCATCCATCTGCTGTCATCCCAGTAGGTCCTTTCTGTAGGCGGGAACAGGGGAATCTCTGCCACTGAGGATTTTTGGTCGACAGAAGATTGTGCTTGTCAGGGAGCATTTGTGAAAATTAAGGATGGGAGTATTAAGAAGGATGTAATTTCATTACCAGGGTCTGACTTAATTTTCATTCTCAGACTTTGCTTGAAGTGTGATTAAGGCTATGGACAGCTCTAGGAGGGCTTAGAATGTTTAAATAATACAGTTGCTGATTAAAATATTAATACAGGCTGGTTTTGGGAGGAGATTCAGCTTTATGAGTCGGTCCTGAGGTTTTCCCCCTGCCTACAGCTCCTCTGGTGGGATGGAATGTTGCCATAGCCCCTTTCTATTAGCCTGGTGTGTTTGTCCAGGTGTCTGCCTCTTCCATAAAAGGTGGGGATTGCTGGACCTGGCATGTACTCAGCAAGTGCTGCAGCAAAGAAAAGTGACACAAAGTGTTTATTTGATGACTTTACTTTTGTGTCTCAGATTAATGTGTCCTCTCACAACTGGAATTTTTATGGAGAAGCTTACCAACAAGAACCTGTGTACTGATGATGACTGTGTCTGTAAGTAAATTTGCTTTATCTTTGAGGACAAAATAGTTTAAAAAATAGTGGTGAAGGGAAAACTACTTCGCTTGTTTAGCTCTGTTATATATTTGTCTTGTCAACTGGCTATGTAGAATGCCACATGCAGTTTTACCAAAAAAATGGGTTTTGTAAGGCGACATTTTTCACTTAAGTGAAAAGTGTAAAGAGCGATTCTAACTTTCAGTGCTGAAATTGCTTCTGAAGCTGTTATTTTGGTTACTGGAAAATGCACAGAACAAATTCTTGAAGACTTAACTGTTTCAAGATAACCTACTTTTATGTAGGAACATTGTGGTGAAAACAAAGGGTCATACAGAGACATCTACTGATCTCAGCTTATTTTGCAAATGTGACTTTAAGGATCAGACTCTTTGTTCACATTTAAAATAGTCTATAGCACATCTTGACCATCTGTGTGCTGCCTGCTCCAGCAATATCTCCTAAAGGAACTGTTACAAATAGAGCTAGTGTTGCACCACCAGCCTTCCATCTGCAAATCAAAATCCAGTCTCCTCACAGCTCTGTGACCTTCTCCCAAAGCACTGGCAATGTTTTTGCCTTGCTTTCATGTCCTGGGTTGACTATATGATGCTTTTATCCCCAATCGTCTTGTTCTGTTTAGGCTGAATAATAAGTTTTGCACCTTTAAGACTTGTTCCAGAGAGTGAAGGAGAGAGAGAGAAGAAGCACGCACTTTGTTTTCAGACACTGCACTCACTCCTCCACATTCCTGCTCCTGGACTGTGTTGTCTGTGGATGAACAGACAGCGGGACAGAGCTCTCCTTTGCTTTTGGTTAGTTTTAGCTAGCTGAGACAACGAAGTTCCCTGGACTGTAGTTTTTTTTCTTTTTCCCCTTTTCTTTAAACCTCTTGAAACCTGCTCTGGACTGAACACCCAGAAGAGCATCAGCAGCTAGCACCTGTGGCCCACCAGGCTGGGCCTGGCCCACAACATTTCCAGCACCAGAGGGACTGATAAGAGACTGAGTGAGCTGAACTGCAACCCGGGGAGGAGACTTTATCAGTTTGTCATCTCTTTTAGAGCAGCAAAGATTTTTATTGTTTAATATTTAAACAATAAGAACAATAAAACTTAAACATTTAATATTTAAATGTTTAAGTTTTATTGTTTAATAAACATTTTCTCCAAAGAAGTATTTTCTCCCAGACCGGTTAAGGAGAGAGGCCGATTGAATCTGCTTTCCTAGAAGAGCCCCTTTAGAGATTCTCTCCCAAATTTGCTCTGAACCAAAACAGCCTTACACCTTCAAAGCCCAATATTGGTGTAAGATGGGCTCTCTTTGGAAGGGGTTGCCATTTAAATGAGGAGATCTGATGCCCAAAGTTGAACAATGAATCATCACGCAGTGCAAATGACATTGTGTGAAGGAATGTCTGGTGGGGAACTTGATGGGGAAAACCACTAAGGGGGACACCTCCTACATTGGAGAGAAGCCTAAAAGATAAAGGGTTTGGGGGCCTCTGTGTGTCCAACCTCCTTTTATTTCAGAGTTTTTTTTCCTCCCAAAAAGGTAACTTTCACTGTTGGAATCAATGTATGCCATTAGCTACAGACCTTGCTATAATAAACCTTTCGGCCTGTGGACCTCTCTCAGGATCCTTTTGTGCAGCACTTGGGGTAATCCATGTGTGTTGGTTGGTGTTTGAGCATTAAATATCAATAGGTTGTTTTTGGTTTTTTTTCTCAGTGCTGAATACAATGGGCTGAACACAATATGCTGTGTGCACATCAGAGTGTGGTGTTGGATTGCCTGCCTTCCCTCAGGCACTTAAAATTGGCCATTTGCTGGCTGAGTACTCTGGTTACCAGGAAGCAGATGTTCTGCAGCAGCTCCCTGTCTCGTGTTTCCAATGGGCAGCTATGTGGGATACACTGGATACACTGCTCTGATGCAGATGAGCAAAAGAGTGTGATAATTCCCTGCGGCAGAATCCAGATTTGTGTAGGCAGATAAGGTAATAGCAGGAAGGAAGCAACATGCTCTGGAAGTATTTTCCCTGCCAGAAGTTTTCAAGCAAAATACTGGGATTTATTTTCTAGTCAGCAGTTCTCTAAGTGTACAGTCTAAGTCATCCTTTTCATGTGGGATTAGGAATTGTTTAAGGATAAAGGGTTACATATGACTAACCATTCCAGGTTTTGGATTGTAGGAATACAAAAGAAAACAAACAAAAAAAGGAAGATAAATGAATTTGAAATTAAGAGAGAAGGAGGTATGGTCTAATTAATTTTAAGAATTCAAGGCAGGAACAAATTATCTGAGCTGTGCAAAATGAGTCAAAAGACAAAACACCTCTTTCTTTTCCAGAGTCCTTTGAATCAACTATGGCGTACTTTGTGTATATTATAACATATTCATTTACCTTTGAAGTGCAATAAAAGAATGTTAATTCTTCAGTAATCTCAAAACATTTTTCCTCTTAACTCTCTTTTTCAAGATAATAATTTCTTTTGTGACTAGCACTGAGAGCAGGCAATCTCTTGGCTTCTACCAGGGAAAGCTGACAGGAGGCAACCTGGGCACCCTCTCTAAACACACACTTCCTGTAATAGATATTTGTGAAACAAGCAACCTTTCTTCAAAACAAGAACATTTTTATTTATAGGGAGTGATTTGGGATGAGGACACAGTCCCACACAGGATTTGTTCTTTAGAAATTTTTTATGTGCATACATTCTGTTACTTGTTAATAAAGCTGATAGCCTTTGTATTGCTCGAAGTCTCTGTGGTCTAAGTAAGCTATGCACGGGATTAGATGTGTGACCTTGGTGTGAATTTTCCTGCCACAACCTTACACCATGTATTGGCTATTAAAAATTCCTCCCTTGGATGAGCTATCTGTGACTTGCTGGGATAAATCTTACAGTTGTAAGAGTTATCTAACAATCGTGAAAACACCAGCAACTGAATATGGGCTTTAGCAGTGCATCAAAAAGAGCTTCTTACCTGTTGCATGTGTTGGTACAGGTTATTTTCAAGCTGAAACCATGGCTCTAAGCCAGGGGAAAACAATCACTTGGGTTGGAAGGGACCCTTAAAGTCTCCATCTAGTCCAAACCCGCTGCAAAGACCCGGGACGTCTTCAACTAGAGGTGGTCGCTCAGCATTCTGTCCAACCTGACCCTGAATGTTTCCAGGGATGGGGTATCCA